CATGCTCGACATGGAAATTAAAGAATATTGATGCGGCAACGACTACAACTAGGTAGTCGTACGTAGCACAACCTGTATGCTATATTGCCTTTTCTCACCACTAGCAGCAACATATCGGTGTGCTGTGAACGGCAGGGATCAACCAAGAACGCCGCCATCCGTGATACAGGGCGAGCCCAAGAGCTGCTTGGTTTCGTGGCGAGGGCTTCTTGCAGGTGCTCTCGAGCAAGGGCCTTGGCCTTGTGTTGCCCTCCTCTACGAACGAGTTGACCCGGTTTGAGTTTGTTGTAGCGGTAATATCATGAGACGCCACAACGCAAATATATTGCAGAACAGCATCCCGCATACATACCTATCGTATTGGTGATGCAGCCAGAAGCACAGACTGTTCGCCCTGAGCCTGCGACGACGCGTACGTACAAGCTACTACAGGGCAAGTCAGGTATTGTACGCAAGCAATCGGGCATCAGTCTTGAATTCGTACCTGTACATTCCCGTCGACCTGGGTTGGGAGGAGTGTTCAAGGCACAAGCGGAGCTGGCTGGGGGGGATCCCTGAATGCTTCACCATGATGGAGATGCGACGGAACGGACCCATCCCCGCCTTGGCTTCGTGAGAAGGCTCACAGATGGAAACGTACAAGCGCAGCGTCGTTAGGACCTGTAGGACGCACGTCTGAATGAGCTTGTGCGAGACACGAGCGCTAGCAATCGTGCCATGCAGCGCCGTCCATGTATGCACGCAATGGCCTTCTGGCGAGAAAACCCCTCAGGCACAAAGAGAAACCAGAGTGTAGAGAATGTCATAGGGACCGCAGAAACAAAGAGGTTCATAATTCGGAGCCAAGAGTATTGCCTACGAAGCCCAAAGTAGCAACTGGCCGGAGGTTGAAGTAACACATGGGCTCCGAATGAGACGCCGCAAGCCGGTCGCTTCTTGTTCTGTGCAGCGATCACAATGGATCATTGCTGCTTGTCTTCCCCGTTTGGACAAGACGGCTGCTGTTCATCACGGACCCTTGGGCACCTCTGGCAGGGCCCTGCTACCAAGATTGCAAGGCTCCGGCTGCAGCAGGGTCAGGACACGCCAGACGGGGATCATGCCTGTGCCCCAGTCTCCGACCAGGTCTCGGGCCAAACGTTTCACGACTGCTGTCCGGCCCAGACAACCAGTCCCTGGTGATCAAGAACACATCCTAGGGAACCCTCGTCCGCTGTCCTTTGTTGTTGTTTCTGGATGCCCTGGATTATGATCGTTTCTCTCCAAAGTGGGAAGTGGATGGTGACAGTACTATGCAGGGCGAGGTGCAACCTGGACTTCCCTGGCGTAGCAATCTCGAGTGAAGTTTTTTTTTCCCGTGTCGCCCCCACACATGTCTGATTTGGTTGTGCTTGGATTAACTACAGTAAGACAGCTTCTCGCTTTCGAGCCTGTCCCCTGCTTGTGCTCGTAAGAGCTAGTCGACCGCACTGAACAAGCACCTAATACCCCATGCCCCAATCCCATTGGTTGGTGCTCCTCTTGAGAACAGTTCGTCAACAAAGGACAGCATCCTGGTCGTGAAAGTAAGGTGTTATCGCCGAGCTCGCACCTTGATACCTCGTTGCGTCACTGTACATACGAAGCCATGGCGGACGTCAGCTTTGTATCCGAGAGGCTGTGGAGGGAGGGTTTCACTGCTGCTGTGCAGCTGCTCGTATCCGCGTGCGGCCACACGACGAAAATGAAGACGCAGTTGCAATCATCAGCCGCACAATTGGATGTGTAGAGGCAGAGGCAAGGAAACACGAGATGGCCCTCTGGACATTGACGATGTGGAGGCTGAGCGAATAAAAACTTCTTCAACAAGAACCAAGAGCCAAGAGCCAACGTTCGTTCCTGCATATGCGTGCTGCATGTTGGAGGGGAAGGTGGCCGCATATCGCCGATGACTGGGCACTTGCCTAGGTAAGTTAGGTAGGGTAGTCGAGCGGAAGTGCCTCTGCGGGGTCTGGCAAGGAACTTTCAAGTCAGTGACAAGTACTACTAGTAGATAGGAGGTACCTGAGGTATTAGGGTCCGTGGCAGAAGAAAAACAATGCAACTCAGGTACTACCTACTTACCTAAGGTACCTGACCTTGTAGATTCATGTCCTGTTCCTGTTCCTGGTGCTACCTACCTGCCTTACCTCAAGACAAGCATACCTCGATGTAGCAGACACCAACAGCCTTGTACCTTATCTAGCCAAAACCCGATACATGATAGAAACAACCTAAACTTGAAGAATCGGGTAGTACGCGTCGTGTGCCGTCGCAGGAGTGGAAAGCCTTCCTCTCAGAGCTAAAATATTGTCACATCACATTGCCTTGGCACCTTGGTCCTCTCTGGTCAAGGAAATACAGGTACCTAGGTAGGTACCTAAGACCTTATAATCACAGGAGATCAAAATGGATTGGGAGGTGCTTAGAGGTGAACACTCCTGACTTATTGTATACTACCTACCTAGGAATGGTAGAGATATTAATGTATTCGTACCGAGCCAAATAAGGTATCCAACCTGCCTGTTGCGTCCCACGGCAAACCGATAACACCCACAGATCAAACATGTCCCGAAGTACACGCACAGCCGTCCACCTGCCACGGGCGAGAGAAAAGGCACTTTGGTTGCTCCTGCAGCGCGGACCCGGCGCAGCGGATTGGGCCATTGCTCGTTTAGCGCTACGCAGATCCTTGCCTCTTGGCCTCTGGCCTCTCCGACGCGTGGACAGGGACAGAGCTGCTCTGGGCTGCTGCCAGAAAGATCCTCCAGGGCTGCTTGTCCTGCGATCGGTACAGAGGCGCTCTGAACACGACAGCTTCAGTGGAACTTGGACGCAATGGCACTCCACTCGATGCAGGTTCCACGTATCACCAATTGGCTGCGCCCGACTCGGAAACTGTCATATTGCTCAGGTGAAATATCGAAGCAAGGCTGGTGAGGCCTGATAAGAGATGTTCAGATACTTCAGGTACTGCTATACTAGGTAGCATGCCTCATACAAGGACAGCTGTAAGCACACAACAACTGAAGGCAATCCCTATTAGGTGCTAATAAGCTAATACCTAAGTAGGTAGGCATAACACAGGCACCGCCAGGCCCTTGCCGTGCCTGGGCACCTTGGCGTGCTAGCGCAGTTGTTCCTGCCACGCCAGGCACGGATTCCTCCCGTGCGCGCGCGTTCCTTTGGGCTTAGTAGCAGTACTAGTACCTAAGGTAGGTACCACTTGACGTTGGCAGCGGGTACCAGTACCTAGGTACTTGCACATTGGAATTACCGACACTCGCACCACCTTCGACGATCCATCACCACAACCCATCCATCTTCTACTTATCGATCGCGCGTTTTTCCACTAGCTGCTCCTTTGTCATGTCGGAATCTTCATCTTTGGTTGCGTCGCTAGACGAGAAGTGCTTCGAATGTCTTAGATCCAACTCGCGAGCCGCTGCCTCTCGCCTTCTAGAAGCACCCGCAGAACGCCGGTCCGGATACTAACGCGGCTGCGTGCCTCTGCAGATACGGCAAGGCACCGACCCGAAGGGCACATTCAGGTACTATCACCATTACTCGTATCTACTGACCTATATCAGGAGCTCGGAGTACGCCGTGCGATTCTGCGCCAACATACGCGAGCGGTCCTCGCTCATCTCGCAATGGCGTGCCTCGAAAACAGCCGGTGTGCAACGCCATGCGGTGCGATGCGGTGCGCTGTTACGGCTGCTCGCAATTATACGGATCGTTCCACTGCCTCACACTATTCGCTATTGCCCACTTCACCTCACTTCTGCGCTCCGTGGTCGTTGCTTTTGGTGCCTCATGCTTTGTAGGAGCATCGCGTTCCCGCAGAGCAGGCATTATACGCTCTTTGGGGCCACGACGCAGCTGCAGGTTGCATCACGCTTATGAACTGCTGCTGCCTGCATCGTTGCATGGCAGGCATATGCTTGCCTGTGGCCTTGTCCGTCACACGAGCCTTGAGGTGCTCGCCAGCTCCTCGTCCGCACACCGTGCTATCACTACCGACTGACAGTCATGGAGTGCTGGGCTCAGTCATTCCGGTTCTATTCGTGCAGCTGTCGGCCATCGGTCTGCACGCTGCGGGTGACAGGGTATAGTATAACATGTACATGGTATGTTCAGACAGCCATATCGAGTTACATGTACTCGTACGGACGTACAGGGTTGCTAACCATCCCAGTCGTCGCTAGGATGCAGCATCCCGGACTCTGTCCAGGGGCCCTGGGAACCCTGTCGACCGAGAGACCAACAGGGAGCTGTTCCCCAGCACCCATCGTCTCCATCGGACCCCTCCCTGTCGACGACGCTACCCAAATCCACCCTCGAAGAGGTCCCGCGGTCTAATCTCCTGAACTGACCTGGGGTCATGGCTAGCTCCCAACCTCTGGGAATTCTGCCAACAGCCCTCGTCCTGGGGCCCTGGAGAAAAAGCCCTCGTGCTACAGTACTCCCTCTGATCCCTCCCATCTCAGCTCCCAAGAACCAAATATAATAATACCGGCAACCGCTGCCCTCGCGCGCCTCGTGCTGATGATATCCACTCCAACACCTCGCCTTGGCCGAACCGTCGATTGCGTTCATCACAAGCCTCCCCTGGGTCAGCTTCACACACGTATGGAGCACGGAGCACCGCATCCTTACATGCACTCATACCAATAAGCGGAGCCCAAGCGCAAGAGGAAAAAAGCAAAGCAGCCCAAAAAAGAAAAACAGAGGCCCCTCATCGCTTTGCTTCACCCTGGAGCAATCAGTCTCGCCGCAGATCCCCAGAGGGCATGGTCTCTTGTCGCCCTCCTCCGAACCCTTGACTCGCAATGTGGAGCATGAATGCCATAGCCTTCTATTCTGGCCACCCGGCACCGCAGCAGGTTCCCGGGGCCAGGCCTCAGACGTCCTCCTACTGGTACTTGAACAGGTCGTCGACAGCTCCCTCTTCTCCTAACCTCGACCATACACCATCCGAAATGTCTCCCATGAGTGCCGCCGAATTCTTCGAGCCTGCCATGGACAGGCCACCCTCCCCAAGCAGGATTCGGCAGCTGAACTCGCAAATGAGGCGAGCATCGCAGCTGCGCCGCCAGAATGGACACCGCACTGCCGCGTCGGCATCTGTGGCTTCCAACGTCGAGAACCCCGGGTGGGAGCAGACCTTGGAGAACCTGTCTCTCGGCAGGCGATCCTCCGTCAAGTCCACTGGCAGCAGCGCCCACTCGCGAGAGCGCTCAGAGAGCGTCTACGGCTTCGGCAAGAACCCTTTCCATCGACGGGTGAGATCTAAGCGGGAGAGCAGCGCCAACTCCTCGTCGGCTAGCTCCATGTATTCCGCTGAAGTACCGGCGGACAATGCCGCTGCCGCTGCCGCGCCCCGAAAGGAATCTTTCATACAGGCTTTTTCCAGACGACGAGCTTCACGAGACGACGCCGCCGCATCACAGAAGAAGCTGCAGATCTCGGGCCCTTACAACTTCCAACATGTCATGCACACGAACCGCGACGACCGCCCTCTGCAGGAGGCCCCCGAGCTGCTGACCATGCGGGCGACTGGCCCGACGAGCGCCCCAAGTGCTGCCGCGTCGACCGAGGAACCTGGCCTTCTGTTCCACCCCGACGCCTACAACGACTCTGGTGCCTTCTTCTCCAGGCCGGCTGCCGCATCACGCGAGACGCCCACTCCGCCTGTCGGACCTCGTCGATTGATGAGGCGAATTCGATCGCAGGACCAGATGGGAGGCACGCCTTCCATGTCACCACCGCCAAGGCCACCAAGATCTCCCATCCCTCCCCCTGTGTCGCAGGCCGACTCTCCGGTTTCGCCCTCTCGCAGACCAAGCCTCCAGGTGGCATACGAACATGGCGAGCAGCTTCCGACTGTCAACATCGAACGCCCCAAGACCAGCGGAGGCTTCCGGCATCCGTTGCCGTACAACCCTGATGAGCACGTCGAGCCGCTCCCGCCTATGCCCATCTTGACCACTCGCGAAGACTTCCATTTCAGTAAGACGATGCTCTCGCCAATTCAGCCTTCACCAATTCGCGAAGACTTTCCTATTTATAAGACAACGCTCTCCCCCATCCAGCCTTCACCCACCGAGCCCTCTTGGCCACTTGCCAGCCCTACGTTGGCATCGTACGAGACCCCGCTTGCCGATGTCCCGGAGGAAGATGAGCAGGGCGGTCCCGCCAGACGGTCCATTAGGGCCAGCCAGTCCGTTCCCATGCTTCGCAAATCTCATCGCCCGGTAAGCAACGCGTCAGAAACGCTTGGTAGCTTCCAAGCGACGCCGGTACCGCAGCAAGTTGCTCCGGAGGGTCACGGATTTGACTTTGGCCTCGTTGACGAGAGCTGGGAAGACGACATCGACTATTGCTACGAGCACGAGGCGGAGGCAGACTGCGACTACCAGTGGGAGCGTGATTCCATGGATACTGCTCGTGATAGCGATACCCTCCCGGCGGAGGTGAGCTTCGCCCCTGAGGAAGCCGTTGTGCCCATCGGAACTGCAACGTCGTCTCCAGGCATGCTTTCTGTAGCCACCTGCGACGTTCCCGCTTTGAGCCCCATCAGCCAGACATCGACACCCACTGTCCAAGAGGCCATCACGCCTGTTTTCGCCGCCCCTGCTACCAATAACTTCTCTCTTCCCCGCCTGGACAAGAAGAAAATCCGTGCTTCTCATGCTTCGAGCTTCAAGGAGTCCCATGGCTTCACCCTGTCCCCGTCGCTGCTCATTCCTGGCGATTTCCACCAGCAGATGCTCCTGGAAGAGAGTGCCCGACACGAGTTCCCCGACGAGCATGAGCTGACCCTGCCATATGCGCAGGCGGCGCTATACGACGAGACCAGCAACTCAATGCAGTGGTCACAGCAGCGGGCGAGTACCTCGACGACCGGAACTACTTCCACAAACTCGGATTCGACTGCCGACCGCCACGTCTCAACCAACTCTACCTGGTCCTTTTTCACTCGCTACACAGCGAGCAGCAGCGGCTCGGTACACAAGATGACTGAATCCTGGACCGACTGTGCAGAGCCTCTGCCCGCATCTCAAGCCGAGGTGTTTCCGTCTGCTGATGCTGCAGACGAGGCCAATATCACCAGCCCCCAGGACACAGTTCCCGAACTGGTTTCGTTCCCTCTCGGCCCGGCTAGGAAAATTGCTCATCACAAGTCTCACGCCAGTGAGTCCATCATCCGCGAGGACCCTTCTGCTTCGTTCAAACAATATGAGGCGGGCCAGAGGCGGGCCTCACGGTCTAGGACTGCCAGTCTGAGCAGCCAAGCGCCGCCAGTTGGACAGTATGCCTTGTTTCCCCGATCATACATTAAGCCAACGGGCGACCGCATTTAGGAGAACTGTACCGATCCAATCCGCGCTCATACATACCTACCTACTCACGCACGCGCAGTCATACGCGCTCCCGACTCATATTCGAGCCCTCTCCCCTAATCAATGCACAAAGTTCGAAAGCACTCGCTGTTCGATTTTCCTATGTATTTTTAGCGATGTACACCATCTGGCTATTTCCTTGCCTGGATTTTGAGATTCTTACCTCTCGTTAAGGCGTCTGTTTTTCATTTTTTTTTTGCGTATAGAATCGGGGGCGTGGCATCGCCGACGTGGGCCCTACGCTGGGCAGTTCCTTGGATATGGTGGGGATAAAAGGGAGAAAGAGAGCAAAGCTCTGCTTAAAAAGAGAAAACAAGATAGAAAAAAGCGGGACAACACAGCTGACACTGATTTTTCTTTTACCTTTATCATCCGCCTCTCTCTCTCTCTCTCTTTCTGCCTTTCTCTCTATTCTGGACAGACTGGAAATGGGAGATCCTGGGATGGATTTGCGGGTTTTATGACGACTGCGATGGAATTCATGAACTGGACTTAGACGGAGTTTGGCTCTTTTCCCTTTATTTGTTTCCCCCCCTGTTTGTTTTCACCATGCTCTCTTTGGCTTGATTTCTCTTTGTTCTTTCCTTTTCTGGCTTGGAATCAAATCGGGATTCTCATTTTCTCTAGTTGTTTTCCAGGAAATATCTGCGTTGCGTTGTTATTGCTGGTAATAAGTGTGGCTCTGAACTGGACTTGGTCGCCGGGAATATAAATCTGTATTCATCCTTTACCGCTTGGAGGACTCTCGAGACTGAGATTAGTTGAGATATAAATATAAAAAAAGAGACTCGAAACATGGAATTGGGATAATCTCAGGGTGAAAGTAGTGCGTGCTAAGTAGTCAACAAAGACTACTTGGAGAAGCTTGAATCTGACGCGGAACACTCACCTGGATCAGCTGACATATACCTAGGTAATGAGGAAAGAGAAAACGCAGAAGTAGAACGAGCTTTGATTCCCTTTATCAATATGAATAGGATACACAAGAGTACATTACAATAACAGAAACCACGCGCCTCCGTGAACGCCATCCAAACTACCTACCGATCAAGGTAGTCATTTCTCCTAGATCCCTTTCCCTTTCCTCCTGTCATTCGTACACCATCTTTTTCTTTCATCATCCTTCGGATGTTCTGTTTTCTTCTCCCGCAGATGGCTCCTTCCATCAACATGTTCTGAGGTTTGAGAAAACGTCAAGGGGTAAATAAGAGGAAGATACGAAGCTCGCCTCTGCTGAACTGCCAACTGGAGAGAAAGCCGTAGTGGGTTATTTCTTCCCCGTCTTGGACTTCTTCTTGGGCCGCTCCTCTTCCTCCTCGTCATCGTCATCGACATCGTCCATCTCCTCGTCTTCGTCGTCATTGTCCACGTCGCTCTCGGCACTACCGGAGCCTGAACTCTCGTGGTTGCTGTCGTACTCTTCGGCGACGTCGCTGTCGCTGTCGGCCTGGAAGTCCTCATCAACGCTCTCCTCGTCCTCGTCGGCGGATCCGCGGTCCGCCTTGGGCACGACGACCTCGTCGTCCGAGTCGTCCATGGCCTCCTCACGCAGGGCGGCGGCAAGCAGGTTCGCGTCCTCGTCAATCTCGTTCTTGACGCGCAGGCCCTTGAGCTTGAAGAAGGACTCGAGGGCCTTGAGGTCCTCGCGGTTGATGTTGCTAAACTGCGATGATCCGGCGCCGTTCTTCATGACGACGGTGATGTCGAACGTGGACAGGGCCGAGACTGCGCCGCTCACGCGGGAGAAGGTGACGGACTGCGTCTGCTCGTAGGCAATGTATGTCGCCGGCTTCGGGACAAACATGAAGGCCTTTTCTAGGCAGTACAGGAAACCCTCGCTGGCTTTGATGGAGCACTTGATGCCGTACTGGTTGCGGTGGCTGTGGCAAAGGAGAGGAGGTCAGCATGTGCATTTCGTATATACAGAATGGAGGGCATGAAGCGGGAGATGATGGATGGACGTACGTGAGGAAATCTTTTGCGGGTGAGGAAATCTTCTTGTTGCCGAGGCCGCGGAAAATCTTGGCAACGACGTGATGCAAGGGCTCTTCGTAGTGAGCTTCAAGCTTGTCCTTGTACTTGGTCTGCAGCTCCTCCTCATCAATGTTGAGGTCAATAGTCACCTCCTCGTCCTTCTTAAACTGCATGACGACGAAGGGGTATCTTGTCTGGCCCTGGCGGAGTGGAGGATCTAAGCCAATGCAGAGCAGACAGTGCATATCGTCAGGCTTGGGGAGCACCATGAACTTCTTGACGGCCTCGTACTGGATCTTGTAGTCGTACGTCTTGCCGCGGAGTCTGAAGGAAGCTTCGTACATGTCGATATCGAAACGACCTCTGCAGCGCATTTGTCAACAAATCGGATGTCTTCCTGGAGAGTGCGAATGACGCAAATAACGTACCTGGGGGTGAGATGCAGAACATCAAGAAAGGTGGCGATGGTATCGCCCGCTGTCTCGCCAATCTCGGCCTTCTCGATGAGCGTCTCGTAGAAAAAGGTGGCGGCGTTCTGCTCCTCCTCCTCGCCGTCGCTACCGGCGTCGTCGCCCTCGGTCTCCTTCTTCGTCGTCGTGCCGGGGATGTAGAAGCGCATCTCGACCAGCTGATCCTTGCCGGCACCGGCCTTCTTGCCCTTGCCTCGCGCGCCGCCCAGCTGGCCGTTGGTGCCCGTGTCGTTGGCGTTGACGGGTAGGGCGAGCTCCACGGCGACTTCGTTGCGGCCAGCCAGATTTGTGTTTCCAATCTCCGAGTACGGCAACTCAAAGGCCGGACGGTTCTGGACGTTGAAGACAATCTCGGCTTTGGAAAACTCGGCCTTGCCCCAGTTCCACCCGCGCAGGGCATGCTCCTTGTTCTCCAGCGCGGTGCTGTACCAGTTCTTGAAGATCTTGCTCAGGCGTTCGTAGTCCTCGTGCTGGAAGCCGTCGAGTTGGATGATGCCCGAGTTTCGCTGCAGGATCCGGATCTCGTATCCCCTGGCCGCCCGACTCCATTGGGCGCTGCTGATATTGGTGTGGTCGAGGGTAAAGGTGTCACCGCCACCCGCAGGCTTCCATCCAAAGCCCGTCTCTGCGAACCTACACTTGCCGCTCTCCTTGGAGAGGTCAAGGTAGATGTTGTCGAAGCTCTCGCTGCATGGAAGAGGCTGCAGTTAGTATCTCGAGATTCATATTTCTGGTGATTTAGTTGGAAGTTGGGATATTTGCTGGATGGCCGTGTACAAAACACCAGGCTGGATCTGGCTTCTCTTGGAGGGGCGACGGAGAAGCGAAGACGAGACGAAGGGCGATGACGCAAAAAGAGTGCAAGAGGAAGAGGAAGAGGCTGGCAATCGCGGGACAAAAACATCAGAGCAAGAGAAATGGCAAGTCACTTACATTGCAGTCATTTTGCTGTGCCTTTTGCTGCCGAGATGGTGCGAGCTGGTGGACAATGAAGGGGAAGGCTGGCTGGTTTGGTGATGGAAAATGGAGGCGAGGCTGCTTTGCGGCTCAAATGGGATTAAAGCCAAATGAAATTTGAGAGCTGCGGCGGCGCGACAAGTGCAGGTGCAGGTGCAGGTGCAGGTGCAGGTGCGAGCGCGCCGGGGAGACGCGCCACCTGCCTGTTTGCGCCTCAGCTTGTCGGGGCACCAGCCACAGCTGCTAGCGTACCAGGTTGGGTGCTTTGCTTTTCGCAGCTTGCTGTGGCGCATGCGTCAGAAGGCTGGAGCTTTGGAGGCGTCTCACATGCAGAGGTGCTGTAGGTATCAAGGTAAGTATGAGCTCAAGTCGCTTGACTCGACGAATGAACTCCCGAGGCAAAGAGCAAGGGCAGCCGCAACAAAGATGCATTTATAATGGAGAGACCGGCAACGGAGATAAATGTAACAATTGGACGATGCACAGGAGAGCACAGATTGCTACTTTTGTTGCTGCAAGGGGCAGCGTCAGGGCCAGCTTTTTCACTTTCGAAGAGGTAGTAACAAATTGATCGAGTTGGAGGCTACCTCACAGCTTCTATTTGCTGAGCTGCTGAGTGTACTTGACAAAGTCGCCATGCAGCTTGTGAATGTTGATGAAGCCGCTCCGAGCTTCCAGGGCGTTGTAAGGGTTTCCCAGCGCCTCCTTGTCCGCATTCCCCGCCAGAGAGCTTCTTTTGTCGGCCTCGCGCTCAATCTTGCCAGCCCAGGTGTGCCACTGGATTGGCTCGGGAGCTCCCGTTCCCAGCACGAGTCCCAAGCAGATCAGAAAGGTCGCCACTATGGTTTCGATGTAAATGTCCAAAGGCAGAGCGGCTGCGGCTGGTGATGCGGGATGCTGGACTGAAGTTGAGGCGAGGAGTGTGTGCTCATACGCGGAGTAGCATCTGGCATCATCAAAGGCAGTTTCAGCATCACAACAGGCGATGAAAGGACGAAAGAACAGAAGAAGAAATCGAAGCATCAAAGAAAGAGACAACGATAAAGGCATACAACATACCCATGAGCGAGAATAACCAGACCGACAAGGGTCAGAGGGCGGGATAGCCACGCCATCTTGAGATTCGATGCAGGCGCTTCGCAAGTATCAAGTGAGAGACTCAAATTGAGTGAACAGATTCGGCCCCGGAACGACTCGAAGCAGAATGCCGGTGAGTGCACAGTAAGAGTGGCACAGTGCCTCCGGGGGGCAAGGGGAAGCCTCAAGGCATGGGAGAGTGTCCGTCGGATCGCTGGGGCATTCCCCACGAGTAGGGACTTGGGTGGAGCACTCACTAACTGGGGGCGCTAGGTTCCGTCTCTCAAAGATGTACTGACAGTACACTCTCTGTGACAGAATATACTTGAATCTTCGACTACGCTAATCTTATCTGTTACTACCGTCTCCAGAGACACTGCCGAGGCGGTACAAGCGCAGGCCTAATGCTGGAGGAGCGGTTAGCGTACACAGTGCCGACCGCGCCCAGTGACGCGATAACGTCAGTCATCTGCGATGCCAACACAACCATGAACGCTCCATGACAACCAATGCAACTCCCATCACCTGACAGCCACTTACTCCCTATTCTCGCCTTTCGCCTCTCACCTCTACCACCTGCCATCATCAGAAATTGCTCTTCTCTCTCACCATCATCACCATCATCACAACCTACATCAACCATCTAACAACATACAGACTCTCTCCTCTCTAGATGGAATAACTCCCCAGCCATCCAACAAACCATAGTTCGCCCCATGGTGTCGCCCAGTTACAGGTGCGGTCTCCCCGGCAGGGCCACCGCTGCCCTGCTGCTGGCGTCGGCCCTCGCCATCTCGCCGGGCTCGGCCAGCATCATCGGCGGTGACGTCGGCCTCGACCAGCACGTCCTGCTCCCTGCCGGCCCCGGCCCTGTGTTGCCATCGCACCCCGACACAGTCCATCCCGCTGAACACACCTTCACTCTCCGACACATCTACCACCACGGCACCGATCGAAATCCGAGGCTTCATCGGAAGCTGGACGTGGTCCACGACCAGTCGCGCGTCTTCCTCGCCGCCGACGACGAGTATGCCGAGCATACGGTGCCACAGCTCAAGGCCCGGAGCCGAGCCGAGACGATCGAGCGACTGGCCGACAGGCGTCCGTCTGTTGTCGATCCAATAGTCGCCGAGTCGCGGAGGCAGGGTTACGCGGCCGTCTTGGACGCCTCGGCGTGGACCATGGACGATGTCTCGTCCCCCGACATCACTGATAAAGAAACCGTCCTCACCATGGCGTACGTCGCCGCCGACGCCTACGTCGAGAATGAGGGGCAGGCCGATTGGCAAGACATCGGTGCCCCCTTCAACCGGAGTCTCGACTTTGGCTGGGGGACGGACGGCCTGCGCGGCCATATCTGGGCCGATGAGAACAACTCGACCGTCATCATCGGCCTCAAGGGGACATCACCCGCCGTCTTTGACGGAGAGGGCACCACAACGAACGACAAGGTTAACGACAACTTGTTCTTCAGCTGCTGCTGCGCTCAACAGGGCCAGTGGACTTGGCACCAGGTCTGTGACTGCGCCACCGGCACATATACCTGCAACAATACCTGCGTGAGGACGGCTCTCCGAGAGGAGAACCGCTACTATGCCGCTGCGCGTGAGCTGTACTCGAACGTCACGGAGCAGTATCCCGACTCCAACATCTGGCTGGCGGGCCATTCGCTGGGAGGCGCCGTTTCCTCCTTCCTGGCTCTGACATACGGGGTTCCCGCCGTGACGTTTGAGGCCGTGCCCGAGGCGCTGCCAGCGTCTCGACTAGGCCTCCCGGTCCCTCCCGGAGCAGACCCTGATGCGCCGCAGTCGCGGGCCTACACGGGGACGTATCACTTTGGTCACACCGCAGATCCCGTATACATTGGCACGTGCAACGGCGCAACTGCTACGTGCTCCTTTGCCGGCTATGCCATGGAGTCGTCCTGTCACACTGGCTATGAGTGCGTCTACGACGTGGTGGCTGACAAGGGATGGCGCGTGGGCATTGGCACCCACAAGATCAGGTCCGTCATCCAAGACGTTATTCTCAAGTATGACGAAGTCCCCAAGTGTGCGCGGACGCCCGAGTGCCGAGACTGTGGCCCGTGGAAGATGTACGAGAGCAACGGCACCGAGACCACCACCTCTGCGGTGCCCACGACGACGACTCGCACAAGGACACGGACTTCGACGTGCCAGACCCCCGGCTGGTGGGGATGTTTAGATCAGCCGACGACGACGGGCGATACAAAGGTGCCCGCCCCTACCCCGACCGTGACCACCACCACTTCTACGTGTAAGACGCCTGGCTGGTTCGGATGCAAAGACAAGACGACGACGCCGGCCAGCACCAGCCAGTCGTCCACCACAACCACCACCTGCGAGACCCCGGGGAGGTTCTGGGGCTGCAACGACGAGGCTACACCGACCAGCTCTGTCTTCACAACCGTCCCTGCCAGCACCACCTGCGAGACTCCTGGCAGATTTTGGGGCTGCAAGGATGCAGTGACGCCCACGAGCACGCACGCAGGGCCTGCTGCTGCTGGGCGCACCGCTCCGACCATTACGTCTGCTCCAACGGTGGCTCCCGTACGGTGACAGATTGGTAGATGACGGAATTGGGGGGAAGATGCAGATTGTTACACTGTTGATTTTTTGCTTGCTTGATTGGACAACATGGCGTTGGGTAGCTTGTTTGTTTTGGTTTCCTCATCGTGTTTAGACCACTGCTGGAGAGAATTCTCTAAAGGCATTCTGTAGCGTTTACGAGTAGAATACTCGATACTTGCCACATTTACTATCTATCACTCAGAGCTGCCTACCTTCTCATTAGGCTATTAATCATGCAATCGAGTCCCATTGTTGCATCAAAAGTGCATGTATTCTGACATGATTTGCGTAGAAAAAACACTGCGCAAGTGTTTGCAATAGTACTTCAATTTAAACTGGGACGTGGAGATGGTTGTCACTTTTTACCAATTTCACGGTCCAGCTTATTAGTAGTAGATCGCACCTTCTCCCACACGCCACACGCGTCCTTGCGCATCTTCACCCCTCCACGCAAACAAAAAAAAAAACCCTCCCACTTTTCATCCTCTCACAAACCGCGGCTCCAATGTAGCCTCCATCGTCGAGCGCTCTTCAGTGCTTCCAAGCAGCAGATACTTGTTCCCTCTTGCTTCTCCAGCAGTCGCAGGAAACACCACAAGAAGAAGAATAAAAATGTCGGCAGTCGACTCCGAATCGAGGCTGTCTGACAAGGACGAGTCGCAGCTGTCGGCTCCTCCTCCTCTCAGCGACCTGGACAGCTCCGACAGCGACAGCGACAGCGAGCCGGCATCGTCGTCGAAACAGGAGCAAGAGCCCGAACCCGAGCCTGTAGAATGGCTCGCCACTTCACGGTCGCGGCGGACCACAGCCGGCAACCGCATGAAGTCGATGCTGGCCAACGAGGAGCCCGACTCCGACCTCGAGCTGCTCTTCGCCGAGTCCGACAACGACCAGGGCTTCTCCGATGCTGGCGACGATGCCTCCGACGTCCAGATGGATTCCTCGTCCGACGACGAGGACGACAACAATGCTGCCGCCGACGAGCTCGAGGGCGAGCGGGAACTGGAGCGCCAGGCCCGCGAGCGGCGCGCGGCCCAGCGGAAGCGAAAGGCGCAGGACGGCATCCCGGCCAAGTTTAGGAAAAAGGTGCGCATCACCACGGCCACTGCATCGGACACGTCGACGCCTGCGCCCGCGCCCGCGCCCCGACCAAAGAAGAAGTCCGAGCGCGCGTCCTGGCTACCGTCACCGGCCGACCTGCCCACCCGGGCGTCGTCGCGCAAGACGACGCGCATGTCCAAGGAGCAGCTGCACCAGCAGATGATTGAGCGCGAGGAGCGGCGGCTGCGGCAGCTGGAGCTGATGCAGAAGAAGGCCGCCCGGATGGAGGCGCTCAAGAAGCCGCCCATGACGCAGGAGGACCGCCTGCGCGAGGCCGCCATCGTGGAGAAGCGCAACAGCAAGAGCCTCAACCGCTGGGAGGTGGCCGAGAAGCAGAGGGAGGAGGAGCGGAGGGCCAAGTTGGCGGCTCTTAGCCAGAGGACGCTGCAGGGCCCCGTGCTGACCTTTTGGACGGGGCTGGGCGAGGCGAGGCGCGTCGTCATTGAGGAGGAGAAGCCCAAGAGGAGGCGGGTAGAGAAGAAGGACAAGGACAAGGACAAGGCCAAGGACGCCGGACCAAAACCCGAGCCCGAACCTGGAAAGGACACTATTACTACTACTATTACTACGACCGCCGCCTCTACCTCCAACGATCCAGCAGCCGGCAAGCAGGGCAAGGAAGACCAGCAACAGCCGGGTTCCTCTTCCGACAAGGCAGCGGCGGCGACGGCCAGCGGTGCTGATGATGCGGCGAATCCTCCTACGCTTCAGCCAACGGCAGATGCCGCCGACAGATCCCCAGCGGTTGCGCCCCTGAAGGAACTAAAACAGGAAGAAGAGGATGGGAGCATGCCTCAACAGCAAGAAGAGCCCCCTAAAACAACGCCAGACAAGGAAGAAGCAGCATCGTCAGCAACTGTTGCTACAACCACTACGGTTGCTGCCACGAAAGCACCCGAAGAACTGCGTCAACCCCCGATGCTCGCCTCGCCTTCTCTGCCTCCTCCTCCCACTCCTCCACCGCCTCATAGTGGCCTGGCTGCACCAGTGGCCGCCTCGCTCTCAGGACCGCCTGGCCAGATGTCTCCCCTAGCCGCACCCGCCGGCATGGGCAGTCCACGGCCAATAGAGGCCGGCAAGCCATCGGGCGTGCTCGCGCCCCCTATTCTTGCCCCCCCGCCAGCCATGAGCATGGACTATCGCCCCAGCGCCGCACCAAAGTCCAACGTCCTCGCGCTGCCATTGCCTCAGGCAAATCTGGCTCCTCCTGCTCCTCCGCCTCACGTCCAGACGGCACCCGGTCCCACGGCCGGCCCAGCTCATGTGTCGACGGAGCCCGTTCTTCGGCATACCGTCCTGCGGCCCATCATCCCCGATCCCGACCCAGTCAGCAAATCAGCAAGCCCCAGTCTCTCAGAACCGCCCTCGCAGCCTGCCCCTGGCGCCGCTGATGTTCCCGAAGCCCCCGAAACCACGACTCGGAACGTCATCATCTTTCAGAACTTTGATGAAAACGCCCTCCAAGACAAGAGCATCCAGACCCAGATCCTCTTTGGCCGTAAGATGAACAGACTTAACAGTATGTCCCGCCCCCCCGTCCATTCCTCCTCCTCCTCCCTCTTTTCAATTCCTCCAAGCTCCTGTTTACTGATACAATCTAACTTTTTTCTCTTCTTCTCTTCCGTCCACAGAGCCGCCATCCACTCCAAACTGCATCATCACAAACCTGCCAGCTCGTTACCGCGACCCCAAAACCGGGCTGCCGTACCACAACGTTGCCGCCTACCGGGAGCTCCAGCGTCTGCAGCGCGGCGAGCTGAGCTGGAGCCGCATCCTCAATGCCTGGGTGGGCAGCCAGAAGGTGGCCGCCGACGGCGTCCCGGCGCGCTTCCTCGACCCCAACGCGCCCACCAAGTCTGCCGAGGAGAGGGAAAAGGAGCGGCTGGCCCAGATCAGAGCCGTCCCTCCACAGCCGCAGTCGCAGCCGCAGTCGCAGTCGCAGTCGCAGCCTCTGCAGGTGCAGCAGCAACAGCAACAGCATCAGGCGCCGCCGCCGGCTGTCGTGGCGGCAGCCCACAAGTCTCCCCAAGTTCAGCAGCATGTGCAGCAGCAGCAGCAGTCCCAGCAACAGGGGGGCCAGAGATTGTCAGGGCCGCAGCAGCGAGGAGCTCACCAGCAGCCTGTACAACAGGCGCATGGCCAGCTTCAACAACCGCCAGCCCAGCAGCAGCAGCCACCTCCTCAACAGCACCAGACTCAAACAAGACCAAGTCCTATTCTCCAACCACCGACACCGCAGCAACAACAGCAGCCACAGCAGCAACGGCCTGCACCAAACACAGCCACCAATATACCTTCTCCACAAGCACAAGCCCCTCCACAGCAACCACTCCTCTCAACACCAGCGTCACAAGTGCCGCAAGCATCGCCATCGCCCGCCCTCCCAAATTCTCCTACCCGACAAGGCGCGACTATACCTCCTCTACCTCAGCAGACGCAAACCCAGCCTCCTGCTGCTTCTTCACTTCCACCACCACCATCTCAAGCCCCAGTTCAGCCCCAACCTCAGCCTCTTCAGCCTGAGAACAAAGCTGCAAGAGGAGCACACGTGTCTCCGAATCAACAACAAGTGACGCAAGCATCGGAATAATAAGTGTATGAAGTGATGTTAGTCATCCTGATTGTCATTGCCTGATAGTAATCGATTCAGCAAGAAGGAATGTGTACTTTATATACTCTGTGGGATAACGGCGAGATTTTCAGCGCACTGCTCTCGGATGGCGGGATCTGAGACACCAGCAATCATTTGAGTATAATAATAGCTCACAGGATGTAAAGATAGCATAAACGACTCGAGAAGAAGTTGAAGCGTGCTTTGCTTGTCTTGTTTCAAACTTCCGTCACGATCACGCACAATACCTCTTGAAATGTGAATCATGAATTTGATCCAGGCAGGAGTGCTGGCAAGAAACTACCTTTGATTGACTGACTTTGATCCGTCAGACATCATTACTTAATTAACATCAGACGAATGACTTCAACGCAGCTCCAGAAACAGCTCATACATTGACAATACCAAAAAGTTAATCACCGCGAGCAAAAACCTTGAATTGCTTTTGAGACAAAAATCACTTGCCAATCTGCTATTAATAGGTCCATCCGCCCTTTTCCATAGTCTTACAAATAAAGAACAACAATAAGCAATCGTCAAAAATAAAGTCGTTCCTTTTCTGGTTCCGCATTTGATATTCCGCCGCACTCAATGATCTTTTTTGGAAATAAGGATCCAATTGCACGTAGCACACTCTTCTCTTGCAAGAGCCAACGCCTACCAAACTCGCATCGTCCTCCAGCGGCCAATGAAAAAAAAAATTGACTTGAAATAAAAAGGTAGAGACGTCAGAGTCCACCGCGACCAATAAATAGGACCCAGGGTATTGTTCCATGCTCAGCTCGCCTATATACCGATCAGGCAAAGTTGTCAGACCGGTCAACCCAGATATCTTCCAGCTCGGCAAAGCTGTGGAAATGAATCGGGCGGTGCTGGTCACTGTAGAATGGCAGCGGCGTGTCTAGCTTGACGTGGATGGTCTTCTTCTCCATGCCTGCAAAAGCACTACCCATGAAGCTATAGTTCCATTTACCGTCATCCGGCACGAGGAAGAAGCCTCTGAATCTGGGACTCAGCAGAAGCTTGCGCTTCTCTCCCATGGTAGTGGTGAACCCCTGGGGCTGGTCGCTCTGCAGGTCCTTGTTCTCAACACCCCACTTGTATCCTTGAGGAGTCAGTCCCCAAGCAGACAAGGAGACGCTGCCGGGTGTGAAAGACACCGACACCGTCACCGTATTGGTCTTGTCCCACTCCTCATGTGCATCCAGCAGCTTGGCGTGCTCCGTCACATCTGCCGCGGACATGTACGGGAGCTCGCTGCCCGCTTGTGTGTGGATGACACCTAGGGGCTCCATGCCATCCAGGAACTCGCTCTGGGGCAATTTCTGCGGAAGCTGCACGTTGCGCAGACCACCAATCTGGGGCACCATGACGATACACTTGATCTCCTTGACCTGATCGTTGTCAGGAGCCGAGGCGCCGTAAAGATAGCCCGCGACCTGGACTCGCAGATCTGCGATTGTGATGAACTTCTTCAAGATGTTGTTGGGCATCACGTATGTGACATCGTCCAGATCACTGTCCACCGACGAGACATAGATGTTCTTGGCTCGCGTTCGCAGGTTCGAGGTCGCAATTGCTCGTGTTCGCCATTCCGTCTTTGAAGCAAATGTCTGCTGCTCAAATTGAGACGTCGTGGTGACGATGATGTCTTCGCCGTGGACGTTTTGCGTCTTCGTCGTAACAGCAGTCAATTGCTTCTGCTCTTCTTGCTGCTTCTCAATCTCGGCAGCTTGCTGCCTCTGCATTGACGGCGCAGAAATCTCCATACCCAGAATGATATCTCGGACTTCCGTGCTTGTCAGACTGGCCACGTTCACGTTGTTCTTCTTGCCGTAGTCGTTCAGAATGAGGTCGCGCAGTTGGGTCTCGACCTTGATCCACTCCTCGTCACTCAGGGATGGCCAGATGTGATGCTCCAGCGTGATAACGGTCTTGTCAGGTCGGAGGATGAGCTTCGTCTTGTCAGGGTTGACGTGGAGAGCGCGCAGAATGAGAATGAGACGAGAAAAGGCCGTGTAGGAAGAAATGCTCTTCAGCCACTCATCGTACAGGTTGAACAGCACCATCTGAGGCTCGGTCGCTCGCAGAATCATGTCACCCAGCTTCTCCACCTTCATAGCAGCCTGGAAAGGAAGCTGCAGCTCGGACGCGCGAATGGAGATGTTGGGGAAGTCGACCAACTGGACCTCGAGGGGATCCAAGAGACCCTTTCTGGTAACAATCAGTTGCTTGGGCTGTTCCTCAACAGGGAGCGAGCGGATCAGCGCAGCCACTTCTTCCGCCGTCTTCCACTTGGCGAGCTGTCCAAGACGTTTCTGACCCGCCCACACGCTGGTGTGAATAATCTTCAAGAAGAGCTGGCCAGTACGCGGGTTGAAGATGAAGATGGCGCCGTTGATGGGTTTGGTGGTCAAGTTTCCTTCAAACGTCTTGTGAATGGTCACTCGGTACACGTTGGTGTCGTCAATGAACAACTGCGTCTGGTTGCTGAAGAGCTCCGAGTAGTTCTGTGAGTTCAAAAACTCCTGATTGCTCTCAGAGGCATACAGCTGCAGACCCTTGCGGATACGCTCTCGCAGGACGTACAGTGCCGGGTTTGCCTTCATGATCTTGGCCATGGCTTGTTGGATGAGGACCTTGAGTCCCGGGAAGTACATTCCGTAAGCCGAGTAGAGATTGTACGCCAAGTCGATGCCAATCATGATACCAGTGGCTGAAGGATAGATACTGGAGCTATCGGTCGTGTAATCAAGGTACTTGGCACGAGTATAGCGCTCAATATCGTGAGAGTCGTAGTCACCGTACCGCAGCTGCACATCCACCCAGAACTTGTTGGTCGTGGTGGGCTCAATGACATCTTTCGTGTCGTACAGGAGTGAGGGGCGGGTGACGTTCCATTTGTGGCTGGCAAAGAGAAGAATATCGGCGCAGGAGCTGTTCATCTTGTAAGATTTACGGGGATGAATAGTCTCCTTCTGCACAGTCTCGATGCCGAGAGATTCCAGTTCCTGGTCAAAGACTTGGCAGAGATCCATGACCACTGACTCGTGAATTTTTTGCCACAAGTGAGCTCGGAAGATCTGAATGAGGGAAATCTTCAACGTGGGAATCTTGCCGTGCAAGAAGATGCCGGTAAGATCCAGCTGAACCTGGAAACCGACGTAGACGTTGGCTCTGTTGATTGTGGGAGACCACCAGAGAGTGAAGCGACGGTTGGGAATCTGGTTCAGACCAGATCGCTGGGCGTTGGTGAGCTTCTTGAACTTCATGGACTCTTCGAAACCGGAGGCCTTTTCCCAGAAGAGGCCTTCCCATGAAGGGAAACCGGTGGCCTTGAAAAGCGTATGTTCGAGGATGGTCTCAACACCACCCAAAGCCTGGATAACATCTGTTCGGTAGGCATTCAGGTTCCACAACTTGCCGTCGTGTCGCTGGCTCGTCCACCAGAACGGGTTGCTCTTCATGAGCTGATAAATCTTGAACTCGGCTCGAGCACGGAAACCCTTGTCGAAGCTGAGCGTGCTTCGATCCTTCTGGAACAGAGTGTTGATCCTCGGCAATCCACGATCCCAGCTGTCCTCCAGATCTTCCAACGTCAGACGTCGGTTCTGCTGGTTCGCCTCCAGGCGCTTCTGAGAGTACTCCGTCCAGACACGTTGGGAATCGATGAACTCGGCCTCCCATGGGATAATGTATCGGAAGATGTTGGGGATCAGCGTCTCCTCGGCATGCGTCATACCAGCTCTGTAATGAGTGACGCCCGTGTCGGTTTGCTTGGACCACCGCTTGTCACTAGCCGGGATGAGAATGTGGGAACCAGAAATCATACCCAGACCACCGAGTTCCTTGGGGGTGTAGAAGACGGCAGGAGGGAAACGAGAAGGCATCTTTGAGTTCAAGCCTATCTTGACTCGCGTCTGGATCTTGGTTTCACACTTGACGATGGTGTCGAGGAGCTCAATGGTGGAGACAGCGGCCTCGCGGTAGTACGTGAACAGGGCAATGAGAGCAGTATTCCACTTATTCGCGATCTTGGTGAAGGTCGTCGAGCCAGACGACATGAGAATTTGTCGGATCCTGTTGTTGAACTTCTGAATGTCTTCTTCCGTGACTTGCAAGAAGGCATGCGCCGTTCTCTCTTTGGTTGTGTTGTCGACCAGGGACCAGACGCTGTCTTTGACGGGGAACTCGTCATTCAGGTTTCGGCACTTTGGCAGAATGCGGACCTCGAACCCGCACATTGAGAAGAGCAAGTTGGGGTTATCCCGACTGTAAACACTGACAAAGCTGTCGTCCCAATCAATCGTCGTGACAGATCGCGGCAGACGGTTCTTGAAATCCCAGAAGACAGCTCGTCCAAGGTTAACATCGTGTCGCATCAGGCGCATACGAGAGTCTCGTGGCCAGCACTTCTTGCTCTTATATCCGATGACATTTTCAAAATTGGGATCGGGTTGCTCGGTAAGGAATCTTTGGATGAGATCTCGCGATTCTTCCGCTGTGAATCGAAGGAAGATCCAGATCTTATCGATGTATCGGCTGTAAAGTCTGATTGGGTGCCTGGTCTCGGTTTCCCGATCACGGAACTGCAAGAAGTCGTTGGGGCTCTGCGGAGGTCCGGCAATCTCGCTGGCTCGTTGAGGACCGAGGAGCAGCAAGTCGAGGACAAGGCCATAGTACTGGAACACGAATGCAGAGAACTGGAGGCCACGAATCATGCCATAGCTGTTGACATGGTTCATATCCTTGTAGGTGAGCTGAACGTTGTTCTTTGCCGTAATGTAGTCAGCAAGGTTGTGGTCCATGATCAGCCTGAGCAAAGAGTTGAGGAGCGTCAACTCCATCTTCTCGTAGACTTTCGACAACTCCGTTTCGATCATGACGTTGCACTCGCCATTTTCAGTCTCCCAGACCTGGCTCAGATTGTTGATGCCCTGAGCCCATTTGTAAACCAAGAGAGGGGGCACCTCAGAATCGGAAGGTTTGATCCAAGCGGGGAAGAGATGTCTCTGGTCAGCCTGGTACCACAGATATTGATCAAGATAGGCATCGCTAATCTTCTCAATGGGTTCAATATCGTAGACGGGATTGATGGTGCTGTAGTTGTCATTCATGTCGATGTTGACTTCCTTGAACGCTCGCTGGGTGAGGAGGAATCGCTTGATGCGCTCCAGTGTTGTGCCAGGGCTATCGTAAGCCTGCTCGATGAGGGCAAGCTCCTCACGCTGGCTCTGGTTGAGGCGGCCCTTGACGGAATAAGCCTCTCTCAATCGTTCCAGTGCCAAGATCAGGATCTTGGTGTCGTGCTTGTAGGAAACACTGGGGAATGGAATAGGAGAGAACTTGCGAGACTCCAGCCAGTGAACGGTCGTGGTGTAGATGGCAACAGCCTCTTCCGAGGAGACGTACGGACCATCCTTCATGTGGTTGTGCTGGCGCTCCTGCTCTGCCTTGAGCCAGAGTCGGGTCAGGCGGCCAACGTTCTTCTTGGCAACAGTCTTGTCAACGGTAGCACCACGACGAATACGCTCGCGGTTGTAATGAGCGACCGAAACCCACCAATCGGCCTTGGCCTTGACATAGCGTAGAATGATGTTCTCGATGGGGGCAGGCAGGCCGGGCACCTTCCAGGGAATGTTACTCTTCCAGCAACGCCAAGCCTCGGAGAGATGTTGCAGCACAGTGTTGACCTTATTTTGCTTGATACCCTCGGGCATCATGTCCAAGAGATCTGCCATGACAGAGGCACGGAGCTCGAGGTCAAAGTGAGACTCGACGCGCTGCTTCGTGACTGTTTTGGCGACACCTTTGCTGTGTCGGCCCTCGAATTGACGAGACAGCAAGTTCCCAAGCCATCTTTCGAGGAGAGGGATGATACCGCGCATGAAGAAGAGCCAAACCCTCCAAGCAGGCGCCCAGAAACCACAACCGGGACCTTTTCCGACAGGGCCGGAATTGAATCTGTAGTAGATGAGATGCTTCAAGTCCTTGCAGGTTCGAATCTGATGCATGAGCTTGTACTTGTAACGGTACATGCCTGTCAGCTGTCCAACGTGGTTAAAGGCATAGAGAATGCCATCCGCCAGCTGGAAGGCGTCGATGTTGCCCAGTCGGTACTGAACTTGCGCATCGACGATCAGCTTTGTCAATCTCAGGATCTCACGCATCAAGTGGAAAGCGTTTCCAAATCGAGACTTCTTTCGCTCCTTGGTGGTCAGGGTCTTGACAGGCTTCAGATTGAAGTTGTAGTCAAGATGGAGGTATGTAAGGTTCTTTCGATGAATCAGGAGGTTGAGCATGTTGAAGCCTTGGCGGCAAACCTGAAGACCAGCCTCCACCCAGTCGATGGTGGTCTGCTGGAAGAACTTGGTCTGCTTCAGGGATCGAAGAAGGTTTTGGTTGTTCTGGGCCTTGGGCTTCTTCTTGTGTAGCTCATTGAGAACAAAGTTCTTGAGCAGCTTCTGGTAGGAAACGCGGACCTTGACGGGCGGTCGGTTCGCAGGAGGGTGCTCGAGATACCACTGCTTGATCAGGGGCACATCCTGAGCGCGAACCATCTTGCCAGATCGCCGGTTGAATGGGTACGGTGCCCACCAGAGCTCGATAGCAGCAGCTGTATCATCGTTGTCGAGGTCTTCGTCGGCCAGGAACGGCTCCACGCCATCAGGAAGCTCGAAAGCATCCTCCTCTGGCTCCTCGTTGCTCCCTGGGCCGAACAATTCGTCTTCGAGAGACGTCTCCACGTTCTTTGGCGCCACGTTGCGTGATGAAATGGGGTTAATACGGCGGTCGAAGTGGAATGTGGGCAGATCCGGGTCATCGACACGGTTGTAGACAACCTGGGGGTGCGAGTACCATGCAAGATGGACGCTGCGGGGCAGAGAGTTGTACAGGTACGGGAAAGCCACTCGAAACTCGGTTCGGATAGGATTCCTGAAGATGATCCGATCAATGGCGTTGAACTCGCCAAAGTCCTCGTCGTTGGGGTTGATGTCCTTGTACAACGGCTCGAATCGCGGGCCACCTGGCAAGGCAACATTCAGCGCCTTGGCTGTAAGAAGGCTCTTGAGATCGAAGAGGTAGAAGTAGTTCTTGTCCACGACATCTGAGATCAAAGGCCGACTGAGACGGAACAAGGCTGCCATCTGAGGCAATGTAAGATTCCATGCCTTGTAGCTGGGTCCGTTGACGTGGGGTGTATCGAGCAACGGCCGGTGGTCGTAGAACCACTCGTAGACTGCCTCGTCTTCGTCTTCGTTGAGCTCCATCTGAATGGGCTCGAGCGGCTCCACGTCCTCGATGTTTTCGGACCATGACAAGGGCGGCTCTTCGTCGTCGAATGGCGGAAATCGCATACGCTTGAACAGCCTTCGGTCGGCCTTTTCCTTTCGCATGAACGTCCACATCATGGCCCACTGTGCAAAAAAGACCGGCTCGATGACCCTTGGGATTTCGTTGACCAGGGTGAGACAGCCGTTGACATGGTACAGAACCTTGACCTCTCGCGCAGATTCCCAGGGCATGGGCATGTTCTCCAAAAGCTTGAGGACGGCATGGGGCATGAACTTGAGTGCACCCAGGTAGCTTCGCTTGTCATTGGTGTACTTTTTCTGCGAGACATCGCCGATATCCTTGACAATCTTCCGCAGGTGCTCTGGAGGCATGTCGGCCTTTTGCGTCTGGACGAAGCCTGCCTTTCGCTTCTCGCCAAATCTGTTCCGCTGGTTTCGCAGCCATTCCTTCTTCTTCTGGGCAAACCTGGCGATATGGGCATCGGCGGGCGGTCGATAGCCGGGCGGTGGCGGGGCTGGAGGAGCGGGTGTCGACGGAGGAGGAGGAAGCGATGACGAGGGGGGAGGCGGGGGAGGAGGAGGAGGCCCCCAGCCCGGCGGCGGAGGCGGCGGGAGTTGCGACATGGCGATGCCTTCACTCGTTCAGAGGCAATTCGTGAGGTTGCCTGCCTGAAGGCCTGGAGCCGTGGCGCGTGTCAAAGACGCGCTGGCAGCCGTGGAATTGCAGACACAGAACCGCTGCCACGAGAGATGCTGGGATGCGGCCTTCAGTTCTGATGATGAAGATGCCGGCCTCGCTGGAATCAGACGACGACCAGCGCGGAAACGATGCAGAAGGTCGGATTGGTGATGAGCTTCGCCTTCGAAACAATTTCTTGGACAAGATCCCGAGAGGCACTAGCTGGGTGTCGATGCTAGTTGGTCACGTGACCGTGACTTGCTGAGGACGGCCGTGCTTTGTACCTTGAATCATGGAGAGCAGGCAACAGATACGGGAAACTCTTGAGCTGATGAAGCTTTTCTTCCTGGTGTTTTTGCATATGAAGTGGATACATATGATTATTCACATGCGGTTTAAACAGATGTCAGAAACTCAAGATACATAGGATAACGCATCCCTGGGGTTTTCTCTCGATCTCCTTCTAGTACTGGGTGCCTAGATACCAGATAGCTACTTTGTTCTGCAGCGTAACTCGAATTATCTCATACAGGCATCGGGACATGTCTGTTGCGTTGATGGGCACTGCAGAGTACAAAAGAAGGCTAAAAACAATCAGAATAAGAAGTACCTACGTTCATATAACGTGATATATCGCGGTTTCCCCTAATGTCATAGTTTGTAGTGGTAGTTTCTTTCTCGAAGCATTTGCTCCAGGGTACATCGACCATCGAAGGAGGAGCCTTCCAGGAGCCAATCAAACCCGCCCGGAAAAGCCTTACATAATCATTCATTCATGATCTTCTCCCGCCGGCAACACCAGGTCTACTCTGTCGCGACAGCGCTCGACTCTACAAGGCCCCAAGCAGACGCCGTCACGACTCAATCAACATGGCGCACCTCAGTATGTTGTTTGCCAACCATCTGGTGGCCATGGCCCATGCTAACCGCAATCCGCAGACGTCAAGCCGGACCCGGCTCTTCTGAAGCTGGAGGGTGCGTAACTTATCAGTCCGAAGCACATGCAACCGATATCCCCATCTAACCCGAAGCACAGCGATGCAAAAGGCCCGCCATCGCCACTTCCGATTCACACCCAGAACCGCTCGAATCAGCTTCATGTACATTGCCGTTGTTCCCGCCATCTTCGGATGGGTCGCCTACAAGACAGACGTGAGTGAAGACTATGAGCACTTGTCCAGAGGGGGAGGGGGAAGGCAGGGGAGGGGACACGGATTGAGTGGGATGCTGGGATGCTGACTTTGGGCCAGGGACTCTGGGATTTCCGAGCGAAGCGAAAGGGCGATACCATCTACGAGAAATAAAACTACCAGGTGCTGGATGGCGGAGAAGGTTGCATAAATTCAAGAGGTTCCTTACGGTAATAGAGAACCTGTTGTTGGGCGGATCCTGGGTAGGCATCCGACGTATATACCAGAAACGAGGAGAAGAGAAGTAACAAATGGAACACGATCACCGTACCGCAGCCTGCCAAACATCCTTTTGCAGTCGTGGGTTGGTGCCGGCCATTCCAAAGGGCGAACACTTTGTTTCCTCGCCAGACTGAAGTCACTGTGCCGGGGTGGTAAACATTTGCAAAGCCCAATTGAAGCCGTATTTCGCCTTGACCCTGCGCTGAAATATCTGGGTATATCGCATCTTTAACAAAATCTCAACCACGTCTGTCACATTTCCCCATAGCAAGGCACCTTACTTGCACTCTACCAGCGTCTGCCGCGCGATGCCCCCGGTGGCCCGTCCGGCAGCTCCTCTCCTCTCCTCCACTCACCCGAGGGAATCCTGCCCTCTCTCCAGCCGATTGGCCTGCCCTGGCGGCCAGAGCCGCGGCCAAAGTTGCTGTCCCGACCATGGAAACCACCCCTGAAGCCACTGCCACGACCGTCCCGCCCGGCAGATAATGATGCTCTTCTGGCGGCCGATGGTGGCGCTACAGAGCCGTCTGACAAGGGAGGAAGCACCGCACATGAGATGTAATCACCAACCACAAATCTCCAGTCGGCCAGTGTCTTGTCTTTGGCGCCATCGTCCATCATCGAGATATCTGGACCGGCATCATCATCATCTGCGAAAGGATAGCCCTCGCCAATGACGATGCTTCCTAGGTCCTTGACGGCAAACTTGGGCTGTGCAGCGTGAATGGCGCTTGTGCCGCGCAAATCCGGGCAAACGAGCTGGAACGAGAGCCTCGTGCCCACCGCGGGAGTAGGTATTGCGCTGGGTTTGGCTGCCGCCAGTTCAAGGGCGAGCTCATGGAGAGTGCAGGTGGGCCATGTGTAGATGGGAACATGTGGCGGGAGAGACGGTGAAGCGAACTCCTCTGGCCTGAAGGGTTATGCTGTTAATCAGCTGTGCTCTTTGAAAGTGCCATATGGTGATGCCATGATAAGAGGCGCGCGTACCTGTGAAAGCTGCCAGTCTTATGGAAGAGCCGAACTAAGAACGGAGTAACATCATGACCATCCCCTCCACGTGGGTTTGCCATTGTGGGAACAAGCTGGTAAAAACTACCTATAAAGTAGATGCGGCGTGTAAAAATTGCACAATTCTTCACTTTCTTAGCGTATCAGTTCGATCGTCGAATTTCTGTGTTGCTGAGGTTCAGTGGCAGTCACTGAAGCTGTAACGGGACACCAGTTGAGGCATCATGGGATTATCCGGATATCATCCGTAATCGATAGCGCAGCCTCAACCTCGGTGAGCTCACCGGATTATCTCTCTGCCAACCTCGACAACTCGAGACAACCCCCCATACCTATACATACTCTGCATCCACTGACCAATTTCCAAACACCTGCCGCTTACATACCCAGTTCTCGAGTTTTTGAGAGAATTTACAACATTAGGTAGTCGGAACATTGAACTCTTGGACAGACGGAATTAACCTGCAACTCTCCAAAGACGCTTACATAGCGCACACACCACCACCGCGACCATGGATTTCGCGGCTCTCATGAACAAGGAACTGTCCAAGACGAAAGAAAAGTCCACAAACGATGAAAAAAAATACTTGAAGCGCTCCGAGATCGAAGCGGAACGCAGAGCCGCATACCTAGCCGAGCAGAAAGCCCTCGAGGCCGAACGCGCGCGCAAGGCCGAAGCGAAGCGCAAGCGCGAGGAAGAAATCGCCGCCGAAAACGCGCAGCGGGAGGAGAAGCGCCGCCGGCTCGCGGAAGAGTCGCGCAGGAGGCAGCAGGAGAAGGAGTGGGAGGAGGAGCAGGCCCGGAGGAGGCGGCTCGGGCTGCCGGAGCTCGTCAAGGGCGAGGATAACGGCGGCAGCAAGGACGGCGGGCCCGCCGCGGACGACATGCCGGACGACGAGCTGATACGGAAGCTGAGAGAGCTGGGCCAGCCGGCGAGACTATTTGGAGAATCACACGCGGGACGGCTGAAGCGATACAAGAAGCTCACCACGGTCGTGACGCAGGGGCCGATACCCACGACGCTGCAGCTGGTAGACGAAACGGACATGAAGGTCGACGGCACGGTTCCAAAGGACAAGGAAGGCCGCCAGTGGCTGTTCAGGCAGTTGGCGAGCTACTTCACCATGGTGCTGACGGCCTACGAAAAGGCAATGGAGGAGGAGAAGCGAGACACGAGCGCCAGCAAGATGGCCTACAGCGCCATGGTGCAGACTCGCGAAAACATGAAGCCGGTAAGTCACTGATGCCTGGTTCAAGGAGACGACTCCATCTACAACTCCCATCTACGAATCAACCCCTCTCTTTCCGCATGTCCAGAGTACGCACAGAGGGAAGAGACTTGCTAACCCGCCGCAAACACCATACAGCTCTTCCGCAAGTTCGAATCAGGCGACCTCGACGACTCCCTTCTCCAGCCCATAGTCGAAATCGTAAAGGCCCTCCAGGAGCGCCGCTATGTCGACGCAAACGACGGCTACCTCCGCCTCAGCATCGGCAAGGCCGCATGGCCCATTGGCGTCACCATGGTGGGCATCCACGAGCGTAGCGCCCGCGAGAAGCTGCACGACGGCGAGAAGGGCCACGTCATGGGCGACGAAGCCACGCGCAAGTATCTGCAGAGCATCAAGCGCTGTTTAACCTTTGCGCAGGTCCGCTGGCCGCCGCAGGACCTGAGGCAGCTCATGGGGTGAGTCTTGTCTGTGTGTTCATGATTCCGTGTGTCCTCGTGGTCAAATAGATCGGAGGAGAAAGCGGGAAAAGGACATGAAAAAGGGGGGAGGGGGAACTTTGCGTTCACGGCAAAGCGTTTTCTTGGAAAGCCTATACTACCCACTACATGATGTGATATGATACCCCGTCTTAATGTGACGATAACAAGAAAGAAATGTATGCATGAGAAGCCCACTGAATTGGAGTCAAAAGCTACCAAATCATATTTGTAGACTTTGCTGCGCGTCGTTGCGCCATAGCATGATGTGGCATGATCTAGGGGGGAGTGCAGGCATGGACAGCACGAAGGGAAACCCAGTGTTGAGGACAGAAGCAGTTGGAGAGACAAATTGTGATAATGGGCAGATGAGAAAGAGCTTTTTGCAGCCGGGGCCTAACAAACTGAACAAAAAATAAAATAAAAGAAATCACATATTCCCTGTTTCTCCTTGCGCCTCCCTCTCTAATGCACATCGTATCTAACGTTCAAGCCCAGCATGTTCCATCATTGTCCTGAATGTCTCCCCTCTCCCCCTTTCTTTATGATTTTTCAGGAGAGGGGCTCTTCTCATGCTGGTCCCGCACGGCTGAGCTGGCAAATATCGGCTTCAGTCGTAAGCTCATTGTGAGTGACCGGTGGTCTCATTCCCATAGTCATGGTGAGTCGCGTACGAGCTCTGGGGTCTTCCTCTAGCTGAGGTAAGGTTTAGTGGCACCCAGCCCATGGGTTACTTTGGCCCAAAGCTGCTCAAGTCTCCCCAACGTCAACCTCAGCGGCTTGATCAGTCGCAGGAGGGATACTACCACTGTCTTCGTACCAAGCATCCTCGACTTCGGGGCCTCCAACGGCGCTAGATTGCTGCTTCCTGGAATTGCTGGTTTCGAGCCCTGCAACAACAATGTTCATGCGCCGCAGTCGCTCTTTGGCCTCATGCTCGTACTTGCGCGCCACGGCCAGGGCATTGGTCTGTACGACCAGTCGTGGATCGGGGGAAACGGCTACCAGAAGCTATATGCAGTGTGAGCAAGCGCAGCTGAGAATGAAGAGAGCAAAATATGGAGCATCGGAGAGAAGCAGAGGATAAGCAAGTACCTTGTTCTTCGTATCTATGCGAGCTCGCAGTGAGCCATCGCGTATCATCCTGATGAGCTCCGGCTCCACAGACCGATTGGGGCTGCCGAATGCCGCGTCGAGGCTATCTAATGTGACGCAGGAGAAGGGTATAAAGTACTGGACGATGCATTTCTCGCGGATCATGGAGTAGATGGTTGGTATATGGGGCTGTAAGTATATGTCAAGGAGATAGTCGGCTCGCGACGATTCCAGAATGGAGAGGCAGTTGGAGTAGCGGCCGTTGACAAACAAACCAATGGCCTTGCGAATATGCGGCTCGTGTTCGAGGAAAGCCCTGAAGGACTGATTATCCAGAACGCGGTTCTGCAAGGCCACTCTGTCCATGGTTGCCAGCGCCAAAAGGCCGCCGTAGATGGCGACGTCGTTGGGACTGGCGACTGTGTTGTATTCTGTCGGAGATACGTTGGGATTGGTGTGGAGGAGCGTCACGGCGGCGTCGTAGTAATTGCCCAGCCCCAACAGGGCGACTCCGGATACCACCTTTGTGTAGGCCTGCTGCTGCGCTTGCTCGTCGTCCCCGCTCTGGATGTTTGAAATCTTGCCGACGTTGCTCAAGACGGTGGCCCAGTCACGGCGCTGGAAGGCGATGCTGGCCAAATGCATACCGCAGTCGAATATGTGCTTGGTTGTGCTGACGTCGTGTCGCATCTTGTTGTATGCTTCGGCAGCCTCGGAGAGCTTGCCAATCTTCTCGAAATGCTTGCCAAGGTCCTCATTGCCCATCTAGATAGATCAACAGATTGCAAGTTAGAAACGCAAGACGAACCCGTCAGACGGACAAGATGGAGGGGAGTCAAAGCTCACCCGAATGCTCTCCTTAATGAGGTTGTTCCTGTAACCCTTGAGTTCTGTCTCGAGGCGAGCAGTTTCGGTTCTGTTGGCCATCTCGGTCCTCTCTATCCATTCCTCGTCCCTCTGAGCCTCGGGCTCCTCTGGCGCAACGGAACGGAGCAGCTGCAAGGCATCCTTGTAGCGGGTGACATCTGAGCCGCTCTTTGCTTCGACGACGGCAGCTTTGAGGGCGTCGACGCGCAGCGGCACGCAGCATTTGCCAATGAGAAGCAGACGTTCGTACCGTGTTCGACCTAAGACGACGACGACGAGGTTGAGAAGACAAAGTTAGCATTTGCCCGAGGAGCTATGTCATTGCACGATCGAGAGCAGATAGTTGTAGAAAGCAGACTGGAGACCACCTTACCGACATAGTTTTGAATATAGAGATCGATATCTAGCTTTGGCAGCTCTGAGAAAGCGTACAGCCTCGAGGTCAGCTCGTTCCTGAACGAAGCGGGCAGTTGTTACGATGTGGAGGCAGTGGCAGGGCTGTCATTACCGGTGACGATGACATCTGGGGATTTTGCGTACGCCTGAGCATCTGAGCCCGGCTGCGTTGAGGTGGAAGCAGCCATGGGAGAGAGGGCGAGGAGACGGTTGTTTGATGGGAAGATGACGATTTGTTGCTTCGGCGAGGCTGCGGGTTCGAAGGTTCTCCCCTGCACGTGCCTCAGCCTTCTTCCTTGTGTGCAGCCTGAGGAGATAGCTTGTCTTGAAACTTTCGGCAGGCGAGTGATTGACGCAGCTGCTCAGTTTGGCGGGGTTGGAGCTTTCTGGGCAAGCGCCTGCGGGGGACGAAACAGTACCCGGGCAGTACAGAGCCACGCCTGCCAACTAAATGCATGCTGAAGGTACAGCCCACGTATCGTACGTCGTTTGTCGCTACCTAGGTACTGCCCGTGTTTGCGACACAACTGAACTTCCATCGAGGTAACCTCCATTTCACACGATATGAAGGGACATTTGCTGGGTAGGTCCCAACAAGAACATTCACTGTGAGACTTGCTCATTTTTTGCATTATGGTTTACCCAAGATCATTGGTGTAGCCAACTAATCGTCGCGGTCGAACTTTGCCATACGTCGATTCGTTCTCCAGGTGATTCGAGCGCCAAAAACCCATCTCCTCACAGGGACCTCGTAGTAGCGAGATGCTGACATTTGATCATAGGTAGCTTTTCATCTCCAGGAAGGAACATGTCAAGATGGGGAGCAGCGCAGTTGTGCGAGACACGCCATACGAGGCTAGATACTACTCTGTATTTAGGCAATTATGAAGTCCGTCCTATGATGATCATGAGGCTGCAGACTACCCAAGTATGTATCTACTACTACAACTAAGCTACCTACGCAAGCTACAGTACAGTATGCAGCGGCCCCCTTGACCTCTGGCGCGGCAGATGAACTAGCTTGCCGTTTTCCGATCCCCCTTCACTGCCATGCAGCTCGCTTTGTGGCTTAGACCTCAGCTCCGCCGGGAGGACGAGACCAGGCCCCTCTCAGCCCACCTAAGGGGGTAGTTCACCACCACTGTTGAGCAGCCGTTCACTTGTGTCCGGCAGTAGGCGAAGAGATCGTGAGTTGTTGGCATCCGAGCACAGCGATGCCGTGAAGCCGTGAAGCCGTGATGCCGCGATGCCGGGAGCAGGCGGCAGCTCCGAACTAGGGTCAGAGTGGCTCATGCAGGCGTACAGTACTTAGGTCAACTTGTACTACCACTGGCTCGTAGGGCATTTCCCAGATACCAGTAGACGATTCTGATCGCTAGGTTTTCGATGTGGGAAACACGGCGTTTCTCATGACCACACACGCACGCTGACCGGGAGTTGCAGGTCCGCCGTCCACTGCAAATGGCTTGCCTTGGTTGCCTGGCTGCTCCATACATTTCGGAGCTTGTGCCGAGGCGGAGAAGTCTCGGGGTTGCTGATAGAGCACGACTGCTCCGTGTGTGTTCTACTCTCAGTATGGAGCCTCGTCCTACTCTGGAGACATGAGAGAGCCGTACGTACAGTATCGGAGAACTGCCATTTGCGACAGGACTCAGATCGCCATGGCATCAGTTGTTCACCATGGCCCTGTAGTAGCAGGATAACACCGGTGGTTGGGAGGCAAGGGAGATTGGACGGGTCGCAGAGATCAACATCTGAGGCCCGCCAGCTTAAAGACCCCACGCCTTTGGCGAATAGAACTCAAGGCAGGCGGTGGCACGAGGCTTCTGGAACGACCCCAGGTATCATTCATCCATCAATGGTGAGCCGGGACAGTGATTTGCATTGTAGGGACGTAATCGTGAGCGAGCAGCAATTCATCCGTCAATGAGCTGCAAATTGGTTATCGCGATTTGTCACGGCATAGCCTACAGAACATACCAAGGTACTCGGTGATTAAGCCGTATCAAAGGACATTACTTATATGTAATGTTCATGTCAGCACATAGCAAGTGTTGAATTATTTTAGTGAGACCAAGATTAATGTCGATACATCTTGGCTCACTCCGGCAGATGGTATTGTCGAAGTCTTGTAAAGTCTCTTGAGATCAGTGTCATCCAGTTCTAGGTACCTAGCCCTGTGGGCTTATCCTGGCTTTGTCGGCAATCTCGTTTCTACGGCCAAAAGCTTGGCATAGGCAGGGTGATGTAATGCCGCCATGGCCTGAGCGCACCGGGGCCGAGACACGCTGCAAGAGCACCGACGAGGCGGCCGATGGAGCTGAAAGTTGGGTACATTTAAGATACCTGAGAGCAGCATGAGATGGATAGGACGAAGCAACAACGCAAAGATGATTAGTAGAGAAAAAGAAGAAGAAGGGTGGAGGGACATTCTCCTGCTGCTGCCCAGAAATCGCACCCGCCTCAGCCAGTCGCACAAGGAACATAGCACGGCTTATTCATTACATGTAGGTACCCAGCTGCGCTCTGCTGGTCAACAACCAGCACATGAGAAGATAGGGGTGATTGACGGACAAATACCGACTGCTTCAACAACCATCCATCTGGGACCAACACGTACGGTACGCGATGAAGCTACGTGCATGCAATCTAGAGTGCTCGACTCTAAATCAAGGTTATCTCTTACTTGCCCCCGCCAATCTCTGCCGGACTCAACCTTTAAATTCTCACCTCCCTCCCTTTGCCGTAGCGGCGAGCCTGGTAGATAAGATGAATCAACGAAGAACAATCCATGGGAATGTCACTTGAATGTTGGGTAGGCCAGAATGGAAAAGGTGTAGTCTATTGTTGACGCGATCCCCACAGACTGACCGAATCTCGGCACCGAAGGCATGGGAAAGGATGGCACACCTGCTGTGTAAAGTGCGAATAAATTGTTGCTCACCCGCAGTGCCAGCTGTAGGCTGTAGCCCATACTTGCGGCACGCCCTTGAGATGCTGGCAACGACAAGTGCTGGTACTGGCGGAAGCTGTACTCCGTATGCCCGCAATACCCGCAGGTCGTATCAATTTCCGTTTCCCGTCCCCAGCAATTTGCCCAAAGCTGCAGAACGGCCATCGTGGGCGGAAATAAAGCGGGCATTGGCGCAGATTCCACAACTAAGTACCTACCTATCTCGTCTGCTTTTCATGGGTTTTCTGTTCTTTTTCTTTTCTCTTTTCTCTTTTCCCTTTTCTTTTTTTTTTTCCCCCTTCTGTTTTCATATGTGAGTGGGGAGGTATCACTCTCTCAATACATAGCAGAGGTCTGATGTTCCATGAAAATGATTGTACATAGGTCAACGGACACGTATAGTATGCTGCATACCTAGGTAAATACCAGCAAGACCTGCCCAATATGACCAAGGTTAACACTAACATCGGCAACGGCGATATGGCGCGCGGCTGCTTGTATCTCGCACACTGGGCGTCTTGGTCGTCCCAATCAGAACTTCTGGACAGACAGTCTAGAATGTACCGGAACATTGTGAAGTCCAGCGCAGGTCGATTGATTCATGCAGCTGTAGATATAAGGTAGGTAGTATGTAGTAGCTTGCAACGGCTAAGTACCTAGTAAATCGGATTACATACCTAAGCAATTGCATCAGAGGATGTGAGCTGCCTCTTGGACCTACGACAAAGAGGGCAGCCATGACACTGGCAACACGTACGCAGATACTACTACTACCTTAGTTGCAGTGTAATGTTCCATTCTTTATCCAATCTGATCTGCTGCTATGACTAGCCTACGGCGAACGACCTACCTTAGTCCATGTCGAGCTAACATTCACCCGCACTGTTGCATTCGATGGTACTACTACACATGTTTTCCTCCCTCTTACAGCACGGCCAACTCCATCCACCATCGAGTCCCAACTCTCTCGCCCTGCCAGCCAAGCTTTTCAGCCAAGCCTTACAGCTTCATTCATCAGGAACCTTTTTGATTCCATCTGCCGAGTGGCAGTCGAGGCGCTGGAGGCTCCCAGGGATGCCATGTGGGAGTGGAGAAGATTTGATTCGCTATAGACAATCTCGACTGCGACCCAACCAACTAGGTAGTACCTACACTCATAAACAGCATCATGACACTCCATGTACGACGTACCCGAATACAAGTAGAGATCAAAGCACATCTTACGCCCTTGTTCCTGCCCATTCGCTCCCTTTTACCTTGTAGAAAAGCCAAGTAACCACTTATCTCGACTTGCTCCCATACCATATGACGCGGGAGTACTTTTGGCGCCGCCTCAGCTGCTAGTCCTCGTTGAAGTGGATCAGCTCGTGTGCAATTGCGCTTTTAGCCCCCGACGCCAGGAAGCTGTGGGCTTTTTCTGGTGGTGGACAAACTTGAATCCTTTTCTCTGCATTTCTGATAGACGGTGGACGACGAGCGCGAGATCAATCAACCGTGATACTAGGTCTCCATTTTATACAGAAACAAGGCTTGGACATTGTCCCTGTCATCTCTCATTGAACGGCCCGAACAATTGTATAGAAAATGACAAAGAGTGAGCAATGTGTGGCTCGTCTGCAATCAAGATACCTTCCCTTGGTTCATCAACTGCACACATACCTAGGTAGTACTATGTGCACAGCACTTCTTCTTCCATCCTTGGTATCCTTTACTTGCTTCAATGACGCGAGATTCTGATATGAACATACTACGCTGCGTTATAATATACATCGGCTCCTTCATTCGTCAAAGCGGACATCAGCCCTTGACCATCGCATCCACCGGCATTTGAAGCACTTTCCCATGATTTCTGGACGTTTACGCACGCACTCTCCGAGTTTAGTTATGCTTCCCATGAAGCGTACTGTGCGAGCAGTACTTCGCA